TTTTTTTTATGACGGAGAAGCTGGCGAACTCTTGGTATGGGGGAGGGTAAGTCGAGTGGAAGGGAGGGTGAGCAGAGTGAGTGCTGGGTTAAATTGAGCAGTCTGGGGATGTGAAATCTTGCAGGGTTTATGCAATACGGTCATGTAGGACCTTCTGGAGGGGCGAGGGAAGCAGAGGTGGCAAGATTGAAATGGGGCAATTAGGTGGGGGGGAAGGGAGTCGGGAGAGATTTTGGTGGTGGGAGAGAGATCTCTGAGTTCGGAGGAAATGTGGGCATCAGGCAGAGCAAGGGGGTGGTAGGAAATGTAGAGTTTTTGACTGGCGTTATCGCTGGAGTTTACAGTGAAGACTCGGAATCTGCCAGGCCTGAGTATGGGGCTGGTTATGGGGAGGCAGACCTGGTGTGAGTATGATGGGGTTCCTCCAAAGGTCGACTAGAGGTTGTGGGGAGACCAGGGGCAAGGTTAGAATGGGGATTGGGAAAGGGAGGGACATGCTTAGCTCGCTTGTGCAGTGCTGACTCGCTGATGTGCTCGTCGCCATGCTTGGAGGAAGCTTAGCATTTCTATACTTGCTGCTTCCCAGGTGTCCCCTTAAAGACCTTCTTGGGGTGTGTGAAGGCCTTGAACTCATGTTGATCCTGCCGCCTTTGCCGAAGTGCTGGGACACATTGAACTCAAATCCGCTAGATGCTCTTGGACTTGTGATCCTTTCTGAGGCGGAGTCGTCCTTGAGTGCCTGAGGAAATGCCCTAGTGCGTCTCCACTCGTATGATGCTTGTTTTGTTTGGCTGCTGGGCTGTTCGAAGCTTTGGATGCTTTGGAGTGCCCTGAGCTTAGCGATTGAAGGTTGATTGAAAGTGCCACGAAGCATGGTGTGACATGGGATCTGTTGGAGGAAACACCCTGATGAGCACGCCTTGTGATCGTTGAGGATTTTGGGATGGCCATTGGAGGCGTGTGTGATTGCACATGCAAGGCCCTTGTAGGCATGTTGACCCTATCGCCTCACTAGTGATTGTGGGCCAACGGTTGGGCGACATGCAGGTGGTGTGTGTTCTCTCTCAAAGGCAACAACGCAGGTGTTGTAGGTGGTGCAGGCTCCAGGGGGCGGGAGGGGTGGGGGAGGTGTAGCGGGAAGTGGTTCCTCCTTCCATCTTTCCACCATACCTCTCCTGAAAACAGGGAGGCCGGGCGCGGGGAAGGGAGGTAGAGGGAGGGCCGTGGGCCGTGGGAGGGGGAGGGGAGGCCATGGGGAACGGAGGGAATACCGTTCGTGGGGAGTAGAGGGAAGGCGGGGGGGGAGGGTGGCTGTGGGGACAAGGAGGGAGGCAGTGGGAGGAGAGTGGGGGGCGGGGAAGGTGGGGTGAAAGGGAGGGTGGGGTGCACGGGGCCACGGGCAGGGGAGCGGGGTTTGGGCGGGAAGGGGCAAGGTTTGGGGGCCGAGTTGTGGGGACGGACAAGGTGCAAAGTCGGGCGAGACGTGAGGTGTGGGGTTGGGGGTGAGAAGGCAGTAGGGGGGAGCGAGTAGCGAGGGCTGGGGCGAGGATAGGGGGCGGGGGGAGGAGGGGGTATGCACAGGCTGCAGGGGCAGGGTGGGGGCAGCGGGGCTGCAGGTGTAGGGGGGGCGATTGGGCAGAGTGGTTGGGGAAGGGCGACTGGCTGGGCAAGGGCAGACAGGCTGTGAGGAGGGCAAGGGGGGCTTGGGATGTGGCACAGGGGCATGCTGCAAGGTGGCGGCAGGCTGCGGGGCAGGGGGCGAGGGTGGCGGGGGGTGGATGGG